TGGATGGAAACATTTCGTAAACATCACGGTCTGGCAGGAGGCGGGGCATCTGTGACCTTGACTGCGGTGTTCAGTGTCATAGTGGGGAGGGGCTTGAGGTCTCCAGGACCCACCTGCCACCTGAGTTATCACCCCAGCAGACCCCCTGGGTGAGGGATGGGGCCACTGGCTCTGCATCTGGGTAAACTGAGGCACAGAGAAAGCAAAGTGGCTTCTGAGAAACATGTGTATTCTAAGTTTTCCTGTATGACAAGACCCTGGCGTCTCTGTGTGCTGAAGTCTCCTTAGGTGAAATGTTTAGCATTCACTTGTTTCACCGTGGAAAAGTCCAGATGCTCAAGACGGGATCAACAGCACTATCAAAGCCTCACATTGGAAGAACATTGGTACTCTCTAAGCACTTGCTGATATGCTGAGAGAACCACTTCCTTCTCCCAGCAACCTGGAGAGGTGGGCAAGGCAGCCATCATCACGTCCTGTTACTGGTGGGGAAACGGAGTCTCAGAGACTTGCCCCAGATCACTCAGCCCATAAGCAGCAAAGCCGAGATGCAAGCTCAGGTCTTTGGATTTCAGGCTTGATGCTTTTTTCTGGATATCATAACACCTTTCCAGAACCTCCCAACGGGTCCCCAACATTCAGGAATCTGAGCTCCCAGCTTCACCCCTCACTCTGGGACCCCCGCTCCGCCTGCTGTGTGCCTTTCTCCTTCAGCAGTAGTGACATCCCCTTACTCTGCAAAGGTCCCATGGGAAGCACAGGTCTCTTGCCTGCCCATCATCAATAATAAGTATCACCCATCACTGACGGATTATGTAGAACAGTGTTGCTCAGAGCATATCCTGTGTGCATCTGAATTACCTGAATTTCCTGTTAAAATGCAGCTTCTGGCTCTGAGGGTCTGGGGGGGGGGGTTGCCCAGGACCCAGTGTTTCTAACAAGATGCATCTTGGGAGGATAGCTTGGGTAGCGAGTGGGCAGCCAGCTGTAGGGCCATTTTCAACATCACCTGCCTGGTCTGTGCCCCCGGCCCTCTTTCCTCCCCATCTCTCTCCTGAGACTCAAGGCACAAGGGCAAGTGTTCCCCCTTCCTTTCGTGGCCGTGCAGGTGGCCGGTGGGCAACCTCTCTTTCAGAGCACCGTGGGGCTGCTCCCCACCCTCCAGGGGTCCTGCGAGAGGCTGAGAAGCCTTTGCCTCCTTCTCTCTGGCTCTGCAGACTCAGCAGGCTGGCCCCCTCTGCCCAGGCACTGGGAGTCAGAGGCGGGAGGCTGCCCGCCATCTCCCGCAGCCCTCATTGAAATTTCGCCCTTGCCCGACAATCTTTGGTTGAGAGCTCAGCCCTATTAATTCTCATTGTGCATTTAGAGCCAATAGGTTTTTATTTATTCATTTATCTTGGTCTTCCTCCTCCCTCCCCTTCCTCACCGGGCTGGAATTTACAATTCAGGTCTCAGGTGGCCTTGCGGAAGGACGAGTCCAAGGCCGGGAGAGTCTGCATGCTGAAGCCTGCAAGGGGCAGTTGCCCCCCACCCCTCACCCCCCGGCCCCCGGTGCACCCTCAGAATGCTTCAGGGCTCACGCTCCATTCTGGATGGATGCTGCGACAGGCCCAGCACTAACTGCAGGAGGGATGCCAGGAAACAAGGACCCACTGGGCAATCCTGAGGCTGAAGTGGGGCTGAGGGCTGCCTGGGAGCCACTAGGGCGCCCCCTGGTGGCTGGTTAAAACCACCGGCCAAGGCTAGAGGAATTCACAGCTTCCAGAGCACACATCCAACTGCCTGCGGCCCTGAGACTAGGAATACAGGGCGTGGCCTCCTCAAGGCTGGAGAAGGGCAGAGAAGAAAAGGCCGGGACACCACTGAGGGCTTAAAAGCCACAATAATAAGCAAACAACAGCTACCACACCTTGAGCACCTACTATGTGCCGGGACTCGCCTGGCTGTGCTGTCATTTCCCCAGCACTGTGACATGCCTTCAGCAGCAGCATCTCGGCTCCACCGAAGCTCAGAGAGGGAAGGTGGGCCACCTGGCACCTAAGCACAGGCCTTGCCTGGCTGCGCACAAGTTCCCGGCCTGCCCTTTAGACCAAGCGACCTTGGCGGGATTTAGCCAACACTTTCTAATCCCTAAAATGGGATTAGAACGGTCACCACCTTGGAGCCTGCTGCTAAGTCACTTCAGTCGTGTCTGACTCTGTGCGACCCCATTCCTGGGATTCTCCAGGCAAGAACACTGGAGTGGGTTGCCATTTCCTTCTCCAGTGCATAAAAGTGAAAAGTGAAAGTGAAGTCGCTCAGTAATGTCCGACTCTTCGCGACCCCATGGACTGCAGCCTACCAGGCTCCTCCGTCCATGGGATTTTCCAGGCAAGAGTACTGGAGTGGGGTGCCATTGCCTTCTCTGTGGAGCATCCTAGAGATGATTTAATGAGACCTGCACACAACCTGCTCGGGGAAGCTGTTGTAAAGAGCAGGGCGGGGGTTTGAATCCAACTGGATGTGACCCCCTCCTCCCTGCAGAAGCAGCCTGGGCGGTGTCCCCACCCCCGTTGGCTGCATGTTCGTGATCAAAGGCAGAGCCGGATGGCAGCCCATCATGAAACATTTAAGTACATCAGGTTGATGTCAGGACACTGAGGACCCATCTAGCAGAGGAAGGTGGAGATGCTGTTTTTCCACCACTGCCCTCCCCGCCATCTTCCCAGGAAAGGACAGGAAGGTGACAGAAGGTCCTTCCACAGCCCAGGGTTCCAGGACCCAGGCTGGGCGGCATCGGGACTGTGGCGGGGTGACCACCCCACCTCGGCAGCTGCGCTGGGTTCTCTGTGTGAGAATGGGGGCAGGGCGGAGGCCCAGGGCCCAGAGCATCCTGAGCCAGCCTTGGCCAGGAGAGGGCCTTGGACTTGCACCTGATGGTCATCCCCACTTCTCGGGCCTTGACCAGAGGCTGGTCCAGTGATTTACGATTTCACCACCCACCCCACGCCCCCGCCCCCGACACATTAAGATCGCGATGAATATTTAAAAGAAGAAATACAGTCAAGACTCTAACACAAGAGGCAGCGGTTGACTCTGCTCTGGGAGGCGAGTGGAGAAGTCCTCACATGAGCTGGGGCGGGCACTGAGCCTGAGACGTGGGTCAGAGCTGGGCTCCGCCAGTGCCCACCTTGGCCCTGGCCTTCAGGACCAGCCCCCACGCCCGTCCCTGGGCCAGAGAAGCCCTGGGGTCCTCAGGGAAGTGCGGCCGTGCGGCCCCTCGCTCCTGGCTCTGTGCTGCCTTCTGCTTCCCTGCCCCCTCCCTCCCCAGCGGGGCCAGCCAGTCTCCACCGCCCACAGTGACAGCCTCCTGACCACTGACCGTGCGAACCTACCTTCCCAAGCTGACAGCTCTGGGATAGGACCCAAGCACCGCACAGGACTGAGCCATCCTTAGGAGCCCGGTGGGGACACCCCTCAGTCCGTCCATAAACGCAGAGCGCTGGAGGCTCTCCCAGGACACACGGAGGCAGCAACCACCCAAGGGTGACACCCAGCCCACCTGTGGCTTCTGCAGCCTGGCTTCCCTGTCCAGCCTCCTGCCTGGCCCAGGGCCTGCAGGGCTCTGCCCAGCGGAAGGCATCTTTTGGGAAGCAGATCAGCTCAGTGACTCTCGAGCCAGATGCTCCCATCAGAGCTTTACCACTTCCTGGGCTGTGACTTTGGGCCTCAGTTTCTCCATCTGTACAATGGGAATGATGATAGCTACCATCTAGGGGCACTTGCTCTGTGCCAGACCCTAGTCTGAGGGTTTATTTTATTTATTTATTTTTAAACGTATATTTATTTATTTGGCTGCATCAGGACTTGGTTGTGACACGTGGGATCTTTCCTTGAGGCACACAGGCCCTCTAGTTGTGGCTCCTGGTCTCCAGAGTGCTCAGGCTTTAGTAGTTGTAGCACTCAGGCTCAGTCATTCCATGGCATGTGGGATCTTAGTTCCCTGACCAGGGATCGAACCCGTGTCCCTTGAACAGCAAGGTGGATTCTCAACCACTGGACCAGCAGGGAAGTCCCCAGTCTTAGCATTTCAGGGTGAACTAAACGCCTTAGGGTGACCTGAGTGTGTGCTGTGTGCACTTCAGAGGACAGCAGCTCAGCGATGCCACCCGTCCAGAGCTCACGTGCTGAAACTGTGCGGCACAGAATCAGCCCAGCTGAACTGAGCGAGGACTCCAAGGAATGACTCGTATTGAGCTTTCAGACGCCACACTCGGGGACCGGCACAAATGCCCCCACTGTTAGTATTGTTGTTGTTAATGGAGTGCTGATGGACCCTGTGGCTCTGACTCCGTCTTTAACTAGAGACTCAAGTAACAACACCTGAAAGCCTCCCTTCCCCTGACTTAACCAGTGACTGTGGTCACTGCACATCGTGATGGAATCAGAAAGGGTGCCGTCGTCACCAGCCACCCGGATCTGACCCCTTCCTTCCTGCCTTACGAATCCCCTCTGCATTTCCGCCAGACCTTCCCCCGCAAAGGGCGCTTGGCCTCTCTTCGCCTGGCAAATGGTTTGCTGGACTGGATTGGGTGGACCAGGAGGTGACCCCCTGGAGGGATGAACAGGCGGAGGGCAGAGTGCAGTCTTGCAAATAGCACCTTGCTTGCTCGCCCAGATGCTGACTTCCTACAAGGGAGGCGGGGCTTATCTTCAAGGCTGGGCAACTGTGCCTTGGGTGGTTTGGTGGTTTTCCCCAGAGGAGAGGATCCAGTGATCACCAGGCCAAGAATTTCCCCACCCCAAAAAATGGTGTCACGTGACCCCAGCATCCTCCCGGCATCCTTTGCTCTGGCGCGTTTCCAAGGCCGGACCGAGATGGGTCCCAATCCTACAGGCGGGAAAGTCAGCCTGGCATCCAGGTCCTCCTGTTCTGCCCACCCATCCCATGGGTCTGGCCCAGACCCCCCACCCCCACCCACTTGGCCTGAGTGAAGGCCACGGGCAGGGGGCCGACTTACGTGGGAGCAGAATCTCTCCGGGGGGTCTCCGCACGTGATGCCGGAGGGCTCCACCTTCACCTTGACATACTCCTTCAGGCGCATCACCTTGGGCTGGCAGGCATAGAACTCCCAGGTGGGGCCTTCGTCCGTGGTCACCCAGGATTTGCAGATGTCGTAGTCCCCGGAGGCCAGCGGCAGGCAGTGCAGAAGGAGGGCCAGCAGGCGCAGCATGGCGGCACAGTCCCCGGGGGCGCGGCCCGCAGGGGGCCTGGTGAGGCAGCGATGGCTCAGGCGGGACGCGCAGCCTCCGCATGGAAAAGCCACATCTACCGGGCGACGGAGGCCGGATGTCCCAGGGACTCTGCCAGGTTGCAAACAGCGAGGAAACTTGGTTTTTCCAAGGCCGATGTGGAAAACCCAGAGCCAGCGTTTCTCAGAGTGCTGATGGGCAGATCAAGAAGTTGCCCACAATTTGGCGTCCTCCTCACCTTGGCATCACCCCTCTCCCAGAGGTGAATCTGATCAAATCAGGCAGACTCTCCAATTGTGACCGTGGATGGAAATGGGAGACGGAGAGAGTCCGCAGGGATCTGGCATGAGGCCGGATCGGATTGCTTTTAATTTTTGTCCTTCCAATCAATCCAGCTCTTTAAAGGGCCCTTTCATGTGTGATGTGTGCTCAACACAACTGCACCACCACCCTCCGGCCTGCGTTGTAAAGATAAAACAAAATCAGGCGGCGTACCTGTTAGCTGCACACACGTTTCCCCTATGGGTTTGGCCTTGGCATTTTGGACCAATGAAAGAGATTTCTTTTCATATGGGCTGAAAGTGACAACAATCACGCAGCTGGACTGGAGCACAAAAAAAGCGACTGAGGTGTTAACTGGGGAGCAGCTTATTTGGGTCTGCTTTGGTGGGGACAGGTGCTAATGGGGCCAGCTGACCTTGGCTGGTAGCCATCGGCAACTTATCAGGAAGTTTCTAAGACTTCAGCTCCCAATCCATCCAGGTACCTGGGGTCTGGTTTGTCTTTCATTGTAGGAAGGGAGGAGAGAGAGCTCATTAGCAACAACACCTGCAACAAATTAAATAGAGAAAGAGGGGGATAAAGATGTAGAAGAACAAAAGCTCTCTGGCAAAACGTGCAAAACACGAAGCTGCATTAGCAAGGTCTCTGGAGAAAACTGGGTTATTTTCATTAATATCAGAGAGGCACATTTGGAGACGGGGAACATTATTCAAGAAGGCGATGAGCTTTCTCCTTATTTCTGGGGGTCCTTGGGTCAGCAGAAGTGTCCCTGTTTGGGGTCAGTGACTTTCTAAAACAGCCCCAGGAGCCGAGATGGAATGGTGGCTTTAAAATACTGTGACTGACAAGTCAAAATGTCAAAACCATTGAAGGCAGAGATGAGGCTGTAATTATCTGTGTCGATGAGGCTGTGTGGACAGGCTCAGATAAAGAATGGCCCACGTGTTGTCAACAGTTATGAATCAGGTGCTAATAACTGTCTCCAAAAATTCTGAAATGGTGAACTTAATTTTCAACTGTAAGCAACTAGGGATGTTGATGACTTTGACGGAAGTGACGATGGTGTGTCATATTAGATTTTTCCGATCGAGGCCAAAATTTCGCAGTCATCCTTAGAGGGTATGTTTATAAACAGGTCACCATTATGATTATTGCTTTACTATTTTAAGCTACCGGTAATTATTTAAAAGCCCTAAATAGATATAACTAAGATGAATATTACATTGTGGAAAAAAAACACAACTCCAGTAATGTGATGTGTTCCCAGACATTTGATATATCACTGGAGAAACTGGTCCCCCAGTGAGGGATCCTGGCCAGAAATACTTAGCCAATAAATAGGGCAAAGGTTACTGCAATGAGTCACAGCAGAGCCATATGCGTTATTAATTCTGGTAATTATATCTCTGATTGTTGCTCCTAAATTCCCAAACTGCTGCAGCATCCATGCTACCTTCACCGCTCACCTGACTCTTCAGCCATTGTATCTAGAAGGTCCTGAAGAGTTAACTACGTTTCCATGATCCTCCATTCTCCATCCAGACACAAACACACTCCTGCCCCAAATGCCAAACCAGAAGGTTGGGGACGCTGTCCAGATGGGGGCTGATGGCTCAGCTCCTCCCCAGGCGGAGTCCCCAGCCTGGGTCCCAGCGCTCCAGGCTGGGGGCATCATAAATCTGCATTAAGGCAGCCCCTGCCCCTCTCTTTGGCTGAAGGGCTCTTGATGGAGATGAATGAGGAGCCAGGGGGACACATTTTCACATCTCACCTCTGGCTGTTTCGAGAGAAATGGTGTTACAGAGTCCGCCTGGCCTTGAATGTGCTCCTTGCTAGAAAACTCTCAGAAAGAATCCGCCTGGAGACTATTTTTACAACCTGAGAAAATGTAGTAAAAATAAAATAGCGCCGGCCGGCAAAGGTTTGGATGCCTCTGTCTGAGCTTCATGCTGCCCAGAAAACAGCACGTCCCTAATTAATTCTCCCAGCCGCGGGCTCCCAACTGTTCACTCCCAGGAGGGGCGCTCCTGATACGGGACACCAGGAGCCGGGCTCCCAGGGAGGACCCACCCAGCCTGGGGCTTCCTTCATCTGCAGTGATGCTCCCAGCCTGAACGCTGCTGGACTTGGGGAGGCAGCGAGGCCAGGAGGCCCGCCAGATCCACGAGGCAGCACGCCTTGCAAATTTATTAATTGCTTTGCAGTTCTGTTGGCTTAAATACCATGCATTCCCTGGAAAACGGGGTGAGGGTGGGGGGCCAACAACGACAAAATCTGCCCGGGAAGGGGGCAATAAGTGTGTTTACAACTAGTCAGTCAATTGGGCGTTGCTGGCACCATAAGGGAATTGTGAGCTCAGCACGAGAATATTATTATTGCCAGTTTTTGCCAAAGAGGGAAAAACGGGAGGGGGAGAGACTCGAAAGTCTTCGGCACAGCGAGGCGGAAAGCGGGGAGAGAGAAGCCAGTGTGGGAAATTTCAACAGTAAGAGGTTGGGTCCCGGTAGATTGTTCTCTTTGGAAAATAAATCTTCACCTGATATTATTAAGAAACTGCAGCTCCCAGAAACAAATAGAATCAATGTGCTTTATTTTCTTTTAAGAGTCCTCAGGAACGGGAGGGGAGGGGGAGGGGCTGATAGCCAGGGTATTAAAACCCGAAAATTAGATTTTACCAGGATTTCTGAACTCAGATTTCTCTGTCTTATTGAATTAGCGCCTCTCTAGCTGGCTGGGCTCGAAGCAAGCTCCTCCCGAGGTGCCGGCTGGGCCCTCGCCTCCTGGGAAACTTGCCTGGTGGGCGGGGAACCCCTGGAGGTGAGGGGGCGCTGGGGGTTTCTCCCGGGGCCCAGCCCACACCCCGGTTTCTTTCTTCCTTCCCAGGGGGACAGCGGAAGAGGGGGTGAAATCTACCTTAAGGTGCGGTCGGGGTCACCTTCCAGTCCCACCCCACCCTCCCAACTCTAACCAGCGCCCCCCCCACCCCGGCCGGTCCTATGGGTGCACCCGCTCACCGCCGCCGCGCGAGCCCGGGTGCCCCAGCCCCGGAGCGGCAGCCTTCTCGGGCTCCGGGTGCCCACCTCCTCCCTCCCAGCCCCAAGCCCTCTCAGCTCTCAGGCAACCCCGAAAAGTTGAGCGCGGCGGGTGGAGCGCGAGGAGGCCTCCACTGGGAGCGTGGGGCTGCGGCACGGGGCTGCTGGTGGGGTGGGGGTCAGCTCCCCGCCGCGGACCCCAGGGGTTCAGAGTCCTCGCTTCGGGTGGGCTGCAGGGGTCGTGCCTCGCACGGCAACGTGCCCGGCAATCCCTCCGTCGCTTTTTGTCTTTCCGAAGTTGAGTCCAAGCCCCGGAGCAATTAATAATCACACCTTTAATAAAGGCCGGGCTGGCGCCGAGGGGCCCCCCTCATTTGGCACCTCCTCCCTTAATTAGGAGACGCCGAGCAAAGCGCCCGGCAATTACTCGCATCCTTCTGCCCAGCGCCGCAGCCGGCAGCGACCCCGCCGCCACCCCCAGCCCCCAGGCAGGCAACTTACTCGGGAGCCCGAGCCAGCGGACCCCGCGAGCCCACGGTCCTCTTCCCGCCTTCCCGCCGCCCCTGCTCCCACCGTCCGCGCGCCACCCAGCTTCAGGTTCGACTCCACAGTGTCCCCGAGCCGGTCCGGGCGCGTAACCCTCCCCATCAGCCCACCCCTCCCAGGCGCCGAAAGAAGTTTCTAGCGGCGGCCGGAACGCAAGAGTTTTTCTGTGCAACTCACACATTTTCCCAGTTTTCCGAGAGGGGAAGGGGATGGCAGGAATTGGGGTGGCTCTAGAGGGTGGCGATTCAATCGGGGTAGGGGAACGGCCCGAAGGAAGGGTTAATTTCCTTTCCACAAACATATCCAGACGTTCTCTTAACATCCACCCTCCCGCCCCACTCACTCGCACAAACGATGGGAAATGACCCTGGTGGGGAAAAAGCCAGCTCCGAAAGACAAGCTACTCCTTTAAGATGTTGCTACAAATGCACACTCACACACCCCTCTCCAAGCGACTCCGGTCCTCAGCTAGTAGCAGCCGCCACCAATAACTTTTGCATCCGAGCCTCGGCTGGGCTGCTGTTAAGTGGCTCCCGGCCCCGGGAAAGCCTGCGCGGTCACCGAAGCCCTTTAAAAATGAAAGGAGACTGGCCAAGCTGCAGCACATCCACCCACCCCCCACCCCGCTCGCCTCCCGGGCTCTCCCCGCCCGCCTTACCCCGGCTCCGAGCGGCTTCCCGGAGCGGAGACCCCGGAGGCCGCCACCCTCCGGCGCTCTGCCTCCCCCGTCTGGCTGGCGCTGGGTGGGGGCAAGGGCCGAGGGCTGCGAGCCGCTGCTCCTTCCCCCGCCGCCTCTGTGGCCGTCAGATCGGGGCTGGGGAGCTCTCCGGCCGCCGGGGGGGCCGCCCGCAGCCGTCCCGGAGACGTGGGCCGGGGGAGGGGGCCGTCTGCGCCGCCCGCATCGCCCGCCGGGGGCCGAGCCGGAGGTCGCCGCTAACAAGTGCAAACTTTTGGGGCCCCCTGGGCGGCTCGGAGAGGACCCGCGCTCGGGCACCAGGCAGCCCCCGGCCCGGGTGGGCTTCGCGGCGGCTCGTCGGGGCGCCGGGGCATTCCCCCCCTCCCCGGGGCGCGGCGCGGGCCAGATGGCCGGGGCGCTTCACTGCCCCCCTGCACTCCGCTCCAAGTTAATGCTGAGGCTAAATCCTCTTGCCATCACTCACGATCACCATCGGGGCTTTTATCTCCCGGTCTGATCCGGGCTGCGTAACTTCCTCTGTGTGGCTTTAACACACCATCCCACCACGGAGCAGCGGTCTTCTTAAAGGTGCAGGAAGGAAATACTGCGAGACTCGGGGGACGCGCCACGGCCTGGGGAGGGGCGCGGCGAGCAGGGGCGTCCCGGCGGGCCCGCGGCCAGGGTGGCCCCAGCGGGCGGCCGCGGGAGCGAGCCTGCTCTGGGGGGGCGAGGGGGGACGGGGGTCGCAGCCTACACATCGCCTCCCGGCCCGGGGGCCAGCGGGTCCCCGCACGCAGAGCGCATCTCAGCCAGCTCGGGCCAGGCGCCGCGAGGCTGCGGCTTCCTTTCCCCAAAACCCGGGGGCCCGACCGGGTGCCGGCGCCCATGGGTGTGGGGGCTGCCCCATCGGCCCCCGGGGAGGGGTCCAAGTGAGTCAGTCCGCCCTCCGCCGCCCCCCCCGCGGCCCCCCCCCCAGACAAGCCAGGGGCTCAAGGCTGCTGCTCAGTCTCCCTGTGAAGTGCTGCCACCCAGAAGGCCCCAAGCAGTGGGTAAAGGGGTGGGTGGGTGGATTTGGGGAGACGGGGAGGGGGACCATCTGAGCGCACAAGCGGAGCCTGAATACCAGCTGACACATCGCCGCCTCCACCCTGACGGGCCCTGCTTTTGACGGAGCCAAGCCAGCTCCGGAGGGAGTGCGGGGTAGGGGGCAGGAGGGGGCCTCACTCCCTGGCGAGGCTGGGAGGAGGGCGTGGGAGGACTCCCGCAGGGGCCTAGGGCAGAGGCCAGTGGATTGGCCGCACTGGCAGCCCCCTGGGGCTCTTCAGCGCCCCCCGCCCCCCACCCCGGAGGTTTCCTTCCGGGCTGCCTCCCAGGCCTATGGGGAGAGCTGTCTCCATCTTGCAGGGGCACCCGTGGCTCTCAGATGCTCCGGGGCGCGCTCTGGGTGGGTTCTCACTGCAGCGCTCAGCCAGCCGCCTCTGTCATTGGGATGCATCAAGAACAAAGCCTGAGGAAGGAGAGCGAGCGAGGAGGGACTGGGCCAAGGTCACGGAGGGTGTCAGGGATACGAGCAAGGCGTGCCCCGAGGGCCCCAACCCGCTGCCAGCCTTAACCCTTCCCTCCTCTGGGCTTCCCCCAAGCTGCCCGAGGGGGGTGTGCTGCCGACTAACGTTTAGCCTGTTGTTGCAGCGTGGACGTGGAATTCAAGACTGTCCTCTGCTTTAATAGTCATAATAATAATTTAACATTTATTGAGCACCTGCTTTATGCCAGGATCCATGCAAACCGCTTGATGTGTCTTATCCACCGGTTCTTCCCCGCAGACCTGGCACTTAACTCCTATTAGTCAAGTCCCAAGTTATATTAAGAGATGAAGCTTAGAGATGTTGAGTAACTTGCCCAAGGTCACACAGCTGAGGAAGACGCTGGCCTGGGAGGCAGGGCTCTTGGGCTCCCCCGTGGGGTTCTGCTGCTACTCCCTGACTTGCTGGTTAACTTGGGGCCCATAGCACAGATTGCTTCCAGGCCTCAGTTTCCCCATCTGTGAGATGTGAGTGGTGGGTGAGTCTTCTCCTTTTCCAGGGAGCAGACAGAACAAGGCCATTGAAGGGCCTCCTCCCACAAGTGCTCTCAAAGCCCTCCCACCGGAGAAGCCCACCCCCGCCCCCCACAAGGCTGTCCAGGAGAGCAGATGCTTGCCAGCCCCTGCTTACCTGCTCCCCGGGCCTTAAAGCACCCAGCAGGAGGAAGCTCCGTGGAGGAGAACACATCTCAGCAATTTGATTTTTAAGCATTTCGCCTGCAAGCAGCAGCGAAGGGCACAGTGTGGGGCTCCCACCCAGGCAGGGTGAGTGATGACCCGGACCGGCCCTCGGCCTGCTGTCGCCCCCAGGCAGGGTGATCAATTCCTGGGAAACGCCCTGCTCCTCCATCATCCAAGTCTGGATGCTGTCGGGACAGCCAACAAGACTGGAGGAGGTTGCTTCTTATCCATGATTCACCTCAACGCGGCGGAGGGACCTGGGGTGTGCTCCTGTTATTTCCTGGGTGGTTTCAGTGACCCATGTGCAAAGCTACATGCCACTGAAACGGTGTTTAAAATGTCTCTGCAGCCGCCTCTCCCCAGTACTCCCTATCTCTCCAGTGGGTTGATGCTGGCAGACTTTTTTGGGGACCCATTCCTGAACCTGTCTTCTAGTCTCCCCTTTTTCCAGATCCTGGAAATTATGGAATCATGGAAAGAGTCAGAATGAAGGACCTTTCTCGACTCCGCCCCTACTCGCCATATGGCCTGGGGCCATTGCTTCCCACTCCTAGCCTCAGTTTCCCCCTCTGCGTAATGAGGGGATTTGCCCCAGAAGGTGGTCCCTGGGCGATGAGGCCAAGCTGACAGCAGGCCATAGCATCCTCCAGGAGACAGCATCCCTTTCTAGTGACTCATAAAGTGCTTTTTTTTCCAAGATGGGAAACAAATAGGATTCTAGCCATGTAGGGACCAGGTGGTCAAGGGATGTTCATTTTTAAATTTCATTAAGGTATCTTGTGACAAACGACCTTTCACCAGCAATGAAAAGAAGCTGAGCACCAGGGGCAGGAGAGGGTTAATGAATCTCTCCCACTCCCCGCCCCCCCCCATGATTGCTGGCTCCCCTCTCGAAGCAGCCTCTTTGTTGGTGGAGTTTTGGCTCCATTGCACAGTTTAAATTCAAATTGTGAATGTGGAATCTACTATTAAAAAACATCTGCAGAATAATGCATTTGATTTTATTCCACCTATACTGTTTAAAGAAAGGAGATATGTATACAGATACAGACAGACAGACAGATGAATAGATAGATATGTACGTATACATGTATTTAAAATAAAGACACCAAAGTAGAAATAGGAGAGATGGAGAATGACATGCTTTATTACATATATATTCTTTCTGTGTTGCTTGACTCCTTCACAGTGAGAAAATAGGCTTGGATGGGGTAAGACAAGTAACAGGAAATTATAAAGTCACACTCAGAAATGATCTCCCAGCTTTGCAGTGCACGGTAACAGATGAGGTCCAGCCCCTCCGGGGATTTCCAAGAGAAGGCAAACCCTGATGCACACAGACTAAAGGATGGACAGATAAAATGAGCTCACACCACTGATTAAAGTCATGTAAGCTCAAAAGCCACCCCCATCACCTTCTCACCCTTCACCTGATTCACTCCCTTCTCAGTTACGCCAGGCCAAGATTTCGATTTGTCCCCTTGACCTTGAGCAGTTGCGATGTGCTGGAAATAGGTGGTAAGATCCTGGGAACTAGCCCAGGACCATCTAGGGGTTTGGAGGCATTCCTGGGCCCCTGATTTCCATAGCCATGGTGGGGCCAGGGGCAGGAGAGACCAAGACCCAAGGCCAGGGCATTCCCCAGGGTAGCACCTCCAAGCTGTGGCAGAGGCTGTTCAGAAGCACCCGGACTCCTCCTGGCCAGTTCTCAGCTCTAATCTCCAGACCACACTCCCATTAATTATTATTACTGTATTAATCATACATGTGATTAATTCAGTAATGGTGATTCATAATTGATTGCATTTTATATGTTGCCTTTCATCCACGCTTCTCCCTAGATGTGCACTGCCTACAACAAGAGACACATAAAGCAAGACGTGTTCTTAGCTCTCCTGCATTTTGTTGGATAAATTTCTCTTTGCAGAGGCAGGGGGCTGAGGGTTTGGGGGCAGACAGCTCACCAGCCTCAGCTTTGTGCCCGTTTCCAGCTCAGGCAGCGTCTTACCCAGCTGGGGACTCTGCTTCATCCTGCCTTGCCTCATGGTGGCCACGCCCCAGGAACCCTGCCAACCCCACTCCTTTGGCTGTAAGTCTGCCTAGGATCCGGCTGCGAGGCAAGGCCAGCCTGGGCTCTGCAGGGAGCTGGTACCCCCAGTGGCACTGAACAAGGGTTCTAGAGCTCGACTCTTTGGGTGTGGGTCTTCCCTCTCCTGTTAATTAGCTGTGTGACCTTGAATAAGTTACTGCCCCACTGCCTCAGTTGCCCAAATGAAAAATGGGGTTAATAAAAATCTCTGTATTCCTGGAGTTATTATAAAATTTACATGCACTATACTCTACCATGTGTAAAATAGATAGCCAATGGGATTTTGGGGTATGACTCAGGGAACCCAAACCAGGGTTCTATCATGTAGAGGGGTGGGAAGGAGCGGGGAGGGAGGTTAAGGAGGGAGGGGACACATGTATACCTATGGCTGAGGCCATCACAATATTGTGACACAATTTTCCTTCAATTAAAATTAAGTTTTGAAAAAAGATTCCATGCAATGATACATATACAACACTTCAAAGCTGGCACACAGTTAATGTGCTCAATAAATGTGAGTAGTGGAAGTCATAGGCCTGGTTCTAACAGCCGCTGCTCTGTGACTAGGCTAATCTCTTCCCTTCTCTGGGCCTCAGTTTTCTCAGCTGTAAAATGGGCTGACCAGTCAACTTTGAGGGTTCCTTTCGGATCCTAGATGAGCACTTGGTATAGTCATGGTTGGGGTTTAAAGCTTCAAAATCAGGTTGCCCTGGGCTCCCACTCTCACCGTTCTCCAGTTGTGTGACCTTGGGCAAAGGACTCCCCTTGCCCAGCCTCAGTTGCCACCTCTGGAAAATGGGGATCGTAATAGCATCCGACACCTGGGCTTGATGTGAGGGTTTAATGAGCTACTGCTTGAAGCCTGTTTGGCTTCTAGAAAGGGCGTAACATGAGGTGGCTCTGGTACTGCACAGCAGGCCTGGCGCACAACTCTTGCGGATACTCTCACACGTCTGCTCTGCCCCTACCCCGAGAAAGATGCTCTTGTCCGCCCCACTGTTCCCATGAGGATGGAGATGGAGGCGTCTGTCCTGGGGAAGTCAGGTAGGGGATAAGGCAGGGGCAGTATTTGAACCCAGGCCTCATGGCCGCACTCACCGGGGTCTGCTCCCTGTCCTGAGCTGACTCTCCCAGGGTTGTTTTCGTCCCAGTGATTCTGGTAGGG